CAGCATGTACAGTGAAAGGTTTCCTTATCCATCCAGGTCTCTGGTGCCTCAGAGGCTGCTGAGTGTCAGCGCGAGCATTTCTGAGGAGGCCTCAACGGGCTCATCCGTGCTTGTGAATGCTCTGCCCTTCCCTGCAGTGCCAGCAGCAGGGCTACAAGCTACGGACCAAGCTACAGACCGAGCCTGGCTGCTTTTGTTGTCGGGTTATAAAAATTCTGCCTTATAAGAAAGGCACTTATAATGCAGTGGCAAAGGGCTCCTGAGTCTCACCTCCACCATTTCTTAAAGCAGGCATTTTCAGAGCTGGCATGGTTGGAGATCTCCCTGACCCAAGTGTGGCCACATGGGCTATCCCTGACCGAGCTTAAATGCGAGCCCTATGGCAGATAGCTACTTCTCTGGATCCCACTGGGCAAATTCCTCCCCTGGGAGGAAGAGGTTGTCCTTGATTTTGTGGCTGGTTCACTTTGTGCGATGGCTTTCTCCGGATTTCATCACTCACCTAGAAATAACTCCTCAAAATGTCTCTGCAGGTGATAATTAATTAGAGATTTGCACCGCCGCTCCAGCTGGAAGTACCTGACTTGTGAGTGTCAGCTCCCCGTCCTCCTCCAGGCACTGAGTCACGTCTGGGAATGGGAACAAGGCCACCACGTGGCCCATCATGGCAATGGGAAAACTCTGGTCCCCTGGCCTGGCTGGCGGATTTTGCACCCATGGAGTGTCTTAAGCCATATCCTGAGGTGCAGAGAGGCAGCAAGCGCTGTCCAGACCAGAGCCCAGGCATGACAGATAAGAAGTCCGGGTTCAAGGCTGTGCCATTTTACTTATCAGCATGCTCCCCCCGCTGCTGTGCTTGCAAGCTTTCAGCAGGGAGGAGGACAGGGCTGTGGACCATTACAGTCCCTTTGCCCAGAGGGAAGCATGTGCCAGCCACCCCAAATCAACTTCGTTCATGGATGCACATAGGATTTTCCTTTAGAAGAGGCTGGTGGGCTCACATCCTCGTCTGTACTCCTCAGGAACATGCACGCGCATGCCTCACTGGGTAATTTTGAGCTTTTTAGTGCTTTCCCGCAGCTTAAAACAAGACTAACAGAGGATTCAGGAGCTCACACAAAGCTCCTGGTCCTGGAGTCATAGGCTCACAGCCCTGATTGCTGGCAGCCGTGGATATTTGTTTTTTTAAAAAAGCCACCCAAAACCATAGTTTTTAAATAATTAAAAAATTGCAAGGCTTAAGCGTCAGCATCCAAGAAAGAGCCCACAGGATGAAGCAGTTCATGGACTGCAGGCCTGTTTGCAGGTCTCCAGCCCTAGGAGTCCTGTTCAGGGCAAAAGGGGGGGATTTCTTATTTGTAGGAAGCTGCTTGTTCTTGCTCTGCCCTCGGATAACACGGGCTCTTAAATTTTGAGTAGGCCTCAGCAGTATGTCTCTGTATCAGGTGCAGGTGTCAGCGTGACTCGCGCCTTTCAGCAACTGAGTTAGAAGACAGCCCGGACGCCTGAGTAGCCCCTCAGCAAACCAGTGCATTGATGCCATTGGGAAGGAGAGGTCATTAAGACAATGATGCAGGCGAGTGGAGGATGCAGCCTTCATTTCTATCGATGAGCATTTTGAAGCAGAAACAGGGTTTTCAGCCTGAGGTTTCTCTCTCCTTGAGCGCCCAAAGCAAGGTTCCCAAATCCACGTTTCAGGAGCAAATGGAATATTTTTCGGTCACAAACATCTGTGAGGCATCAGAGCGGATTTGGTTCCAGTGGGTGATGGGATCTGGGCCGGGGGCTGCCCCTGAGCCGGTAGTTCAATGCAGTCGTGGGAAACAGGGACTCACAAGGGGGTAAATTCCCCACTGAGCTCTGCTCCATGTGGGCCGTTAGGGCACGGATGGAGCCAGAGCCAGGAGGGAGCAAAAGAGCCTGAGAGCCGTCCTTGGTGGTGGTGGAAGATGCCTTGCTCTTGCCCTTGGGGACTGGAGCCTGGAGGCGAGCAGGAAGAAGAACCGGCCCCATCACCAACGCTGTTGCCGCGGAAAAATGTCAGCAATTCCTGCCATTTCCTGCGGTCTGGCTGAGGGGAAGCAGCGAGAGAAAGGCAGCTAGTGCATCATCCCTCCAAGGCTGCAGGCGCAGGCCATGTCTCACGCATTTGCAGACGGGCAATCTCATGGCCACCAGCAGAGCCACGAGGCTGCACCGCTGTGTTTCAACCTTACTGTTGCAAGCCTACGTGGTAAAAAACAGGCAAATAAAATAAAAAATTAAAGAAGTCCTGGTAACGGAGCAGGAAGCAACAGCTCTCGTCTCCTTTAACAGCCTCGAAGGGTTGCTGAATGAGCACTTTGAGGTGGAGAGAGCTTTGTGAGGCTTGTGGCTGGGGCAGGACACATTTGTACCTGTCCTCTCTCTAAGGGCAGTAAAGGGATTTTTAAATGCATGAGAATGCATTTAAAGTGTGCACGTGGCTAAACGTCCCTAGGTTTAAAAGCAGAGGCCCAGAGGATTTGCTGGGGAAGCTCAGCCTGCAGCTCCAAGCTGCTTCAGGGTTTATATTGCTGGAAAGCTCCTCGCCTTCCCGGCAGAAACGGAGAGTTGCTTTTGATTAGAGGAAAAGGAGGAGGCAGGAAAGTGAGCAATGACTCACCCTAAGTGGGGAAATCCACCTGCCTGCGCTCACCTGGGAGACAAGGACTGCCTTTTCCTCCTTTCCCTGCAGGATGATGTGAATTAGTAATATCATAGTGTCCTCTGCTGGGCGCAGCCGAAATGGGACACGGACACGACATTTCTCTAGTTCCTTGCCCGGTCCAGCCTCACTAGCACCACTGAGGCACACATGGAGCCCCATGTAGAGATTTGCACACGTTTTTATTTCTGCTTTTCTTTGGCCTTTCTGAAGGCTGGAGACGATCTGGGTTACTTCCGTGACTAACTGCAGAAGCAGAGCCGAGCTCCTTAGGCTTGGGCTTGTGTGAGGTGTTTTTAGCAAGTCATCGAGCAGATAAAAAAAGAGTGGACATCATCTAAAATTGAATGGAGTTTTTGGTTTTGTTCTTTTTTTTTTAATTGCAAGCCCACTCCCCTCCTGCCCTTTTCTCTCCTGCTTGAAGGGAGTGAAAAGGAACCGGAGAGGAGGAGGACACATCATTTTTGATGGTGTTTTGCTTTGTTGGAGAGCTTTCCAAAGTGTAATGTAATCCGTGGGCATTTTGCATCATCCTCACTTCTCCTCAGCAATTTTCTTCCACCTACAGAAAAAGTTTTGAGTTAAAAAAAAAAAGGCCACAAACAGCTACAATCATATTTAAAAAAAAAAAAAATCTGTACATCTGATCTGAAATTAAGGTGATTGCCACTTGTCCACTCAGAGAAAGTCATTAGACCAATCTGCAGCCTGTTTATAGTAGAGTACTCCCAAAAAAAAAAAAAAAAACTTTGCCATAATGATGTTTTAAAGCGTTTTTATAAGTTTTCAAAAGGCTGCCACCCTGTGCCTCGAGTTAACTGAAGTTGCTGCAGCTTGGTCTCCCTCTGCCCTGTTAGCTGGCAGCGACGAGCCCTCTGCGGAGCGTGCCAGCAGACACGTCTGTAAAAACGCCCTGAGCTGCTTTGCTTCTTCCTTCAGCGTTCCCGTCTCTTGCTGTCCTCCGTGCCCATTTCTTGGTCTTTCTGTTTGTATTTAATGGTGTCTTTGGCAGTACAAGGCCTCGTTGGGGCTCATTTCCAGCAGCACTAAGTAGCATTGCGCAGAAACAGTACTGTGACCCCCCCCCAGGCTGGTTCTTGCCCCTGATCCAGCCAGGGACAGCATCTCCTCGGGGACCACCAGAGCTGTCTCTTCAGGACCGCGGGGAGCTGTGAAAGCTGTGCTTTCAAAATAAGTCAGCTCTCATGCACTGCAGGGACTCCTTCCCCATATGCAAGGCAAGAGGTTTCCTTACATTTACCAGAGGTGGAAGGAGGGGAGGGGAAGGCAGAGGATGAAAAGCAACAGTCAGCGTTGGTCCGTGGCACATTGCTCATGGCATGAGTGCCCAAGAGAACCAGGCCCTGCTGCAGGGAAGAGCTGAGGTAGGTTCCACCTACCTCCTTTGCCTTCTCCTTGATTCTGCAAAGCCATTAAACTTGCCTGGAACTCCCTAACAGAGTGAGAGGTCTCACCGTGAGCATGGAGGAGGACAGGAGGAGAGGGACCGTGTTCTTCAGCTTAACTCAGTGGCTTGCACTAAGGAACCCACATTTTCAAATGCAGATAGAAAATAATAGCACCAGGTACCTAAGAGGACACCTGTTTGGAAGGAGGGCTGCCATGACATACTGCGATGCTCCAGCCCGTTTTGAGCCCTGAATGTTAACTTACTTTTAAGGTCTTTTGTGAAGTGTAGCTCAGACCTGGATGTATTTTTTCCATAAGTACCACACATAGGAGGAATGGGATAGCCTCAGGAGCTAAACTCTTAGCAAGTGCTAAAATGATGGTATGTGGGAAAGCTGGGGGGGGGTCTGGTGTTCTCTAGCAGGTGTGTGAGACCTGGTAAGTGAGAGGCTGAATTGATAAGGCTGTAGTCCAGAGAGAGGAGACTGGCACCTGAGGCCAACAGAAGTGCATGCTTACCTTTCAGTCCATTTAATGCCAGTCATTTGCAGGCTAAGGAGTTTATCTGGTTGGTATTCTCAGGAGACACATGGAGTCTCTGTGTCTTTTGCTCAAGTAGAGGCTAAGACGGCTGAAGCAGCAAGATGTCAGTTTTGTGATCCTTACAATACCCAAATATGTGTTTGCATTCAGAGGACTCTGCATTTTCCTGCTTTCTTGCTTTCAGGGTACATACAACGCTGTGTTCTTTAGTGTCAAGAGTTGGCTTTTATGCATTAAGATGGCTTTCACTGAGGATGTCACACACTGTTGCACTGAATCTTCCCCTTCCCCAGCTCTGTCTTCATCATAGACAAATGTCCAGCCCCCATACCTCTCAAGTCAAAAAACATAAAAGCCATAATTGTTAGTATTGGGGATTTATTTATAGGACTGGCGCTTGGGTCTTTAACAGAACATCACTTACAAAGATTAAATCAGGTGGATTTTTAAAACATTGCTTGCAAAGGTTGCCATCACCTAACAGGCCAGCTCCAGATACAGGACTCTGCTGGGTGGGGAACCTGGCTGAAACAGCAGGGGCTTTACAACCACTTCTGTACTAAAAAACTTGACTGAGTTCAGAGTACTGTAAACACATGCAAAATTCATTTAAGATGTGCGTCTGGCTTGGCTTATGCGACAGGCGGTCAATTTATAACATTTGCCTCTTCTATAATAGCTGCTATACAAAGTTTTCAAAGTGCTTGGTAAACCTGACATTCTTACGCTAGAGCAAATGTTTCTACTAAAGCCACTGGAGCAAAGTCGTATAAAATCCCTGTATATCTCCATTGCATGTAGGAGGTTTTATAAAAAAAAAAAGACATCATGAGTCCTCAGTACACCAAGAAGTGGAAGGAGCCCTGGAAGACCAGGAGCCCTGGTCTTCCTACCAATACCTTCCCACGTGACTGAAGCACTACTATACAAATTATTTTTAAAAACTGATTCTTGATTAAAGATAAAAATTATAAAAAGTTAAACTAGTGCCACGGGGAGGCTGTTTCAAGGAAATGCTATTATTTCTTGACTGAAAGCTAGCAAATTATTTTAGTGAGATTCAGGATGTTCTGTGATCTTTGTGTATTGGAGCAGAGGCCTTACCACCCCACCACTGGTTTCGTCTGCTAGTGGGACTTTGATTTGGTTGGTTTGCTTGTCCTTCCCTTCTTACGGAAGCACCTCCGGCAGCAGAACAGGCAGCACTTCAGAGAAATGAACATGGAGAGAAGCACCACAGCCAGGAGGAAGGCGATGACATCCAGGGAATGGTACTGGATCCAGTTGAGTTCATGAGCAGCAGGTCGCAAGTGTGGGGCCCCTTTGTGCCTCATCACAAACTCCACCCAGTGCACAGCCAGGTCCAGAGGGGGGATGGGTCTGTCAAGGTGAAGGTCCGAGAGACGTTGGATGTTCTCTTTGTACCTGCCAAGAAAAGAAGTCAGGTGTTTCCAATGATTCTGTGTTTAGAAAGTTTGAGAAGGCTGTGTATCTCTAGAAAAAAAAAGGATGTAGTGTCAGTTGTCTGCTGGACCACAGGGAGCTTCCTCATGTGTTCCACCCCCCCCCCCACCAAGAGAAGGGTAATGTCAAGGTTAGGGGCCTGCAAAAATGCTGTTTCCAATAGCAAATAAGTGAGAAAAGATATCAAAAAAGACGTAGTAAAGCTTAGTTTGAGCTGTCAGCAAAATCTCTGGGATGAAGGATGAAGGCAGCTGGCTGAAATGTGAGACTGGATGTAGAAAAGCTATCCATCTGAAGAGCAGAATGTATAAATTATTGTCATAGGAACAGTGGTTAGGAAACAATAGTAGAAACGTCCCATTACTCAAAAACATGACAGGGAAGAGGATGCCAATGACTAAGAGGCCCTAATGACAACAGAGAATGGGAGAGGGTATGTTTTAAAGCTCCCCTTTGCTGTGATGCCTTAAAACCCCCTGAGAACGCCGATTGCAATACTATGGTGTCTACTGTGGTTCCTTGCACCACCTCAGCATATCCTTGCGTATTGCTTCTGCTTTGTGCCAGATTTGTCCAGCGTTGCTGAGCCAGGTAGCATCTCACCACGAACACTGCTCCTTATGAATACTAGAGAAAAAGAAGTGACTGAGAAAACTGCTCTGTAGAACAAATTCATGAAAATAGCTATGTTTAGTAAATCTTGCCAGCTGGAAGGCAATGCCTCTGGATGCAGTACCAGCCTCTGGACAATTCTGGGGCACTGCCACTTGTCTCATTCCCCCTGCTGCTATGCAGACAGCTTCTCTAGCTATGCTTATCAGTACGTTACCCAGTCAGGAGGACTGAGAGAGCAGGTGAGGCAATCCGGGGCCTTAGGCTGACCTGTAAGGTAGACCCTCAGGGCAGCCAGAAGAGAGGCAGCTGGGGTGGGGAAGTGATTAGAGGGAGCCCCAGGAAGCAGACTGCCCCGGCTGGGGAACTGAGGTGGAGTTAGTTGCTTCATGCAAAGCAAATGAGTGAGGCAACTGACCCTTTCAGCCTTTTCAGGTTCCCCACTGACTCATTTCACCACAGATTTGGGGAACAAAAGCACAGTTTGCCACATCTCCCTTCACTGCTTGCCTTTCCCACTGCATTGTGTCAAAGCCCTCTGCGTCACTGGCTGGAAAATTTGGCTTTAATCATACAATGTATCTCTTGTCAACCTGATTTCTTCCACTGCATTTATACCCTATTTGCTCTGATACCTGCATCCTCTCAGATCAGCCAGTTTTTATCCCCTAATGCTTATGATACCAGGCAGTGAGGATGAGGCTAACCCAGGGCGTGCACTGGCTTCTCAGTGATGAAACACCTTTGATATAAGAAGGAGAATGATTAGTGTTCTGTTAAATGGGAAGCAAGAGTGCTGGTGTAGTCAACAGTAGAAGGAAAAGGCTGTATTTCTATTACTGACTTTTTATCATTAATAACTGCATGCAGGGCATCGGATATGTCCTTCGAAGTCATTTCAAGTATATTCAGTATCAGTCCCGCTCCCCGTGACTCGATACGCTTGGCGTTGTCCATCTGGTCTCCAAATAAAGGCATTAGTACCATTGGCATGGCGTTGCATATGCCCTCGTAAACACCATGCGAGCCTCCATGGGTAATAAAGGCACGAGTCTTAGGGTGAGCTGTGGAGGGAAGAAAGACTTGCTTAGCCATTTGATTTGTTAAGTCACAATAACATATCCCTGAGGAGAAAGTTGCACAGAAATAGCATTGGTAGGTATTAACCAAGAACTCTGGACTTGCATATGGGTCATTACTTATTGACAGACTTAGGGCTGCAAAGAACGGGGCATTACAGGGTATTGAATGAACCATCGATTGTAGAGTTCCTTTTTGGTTTTAGTTGTCGCTGGAAAGCCTTGGATAATCCTCTAAAGCTTCTCACAGCGTAGGATGAAATCACAGCCCAAGTGAAGTCAAAGGGGATGTTACCACTGGTTGTGTTTTTATCACGTCTTTCCATTCACTGGTTTTGCAGCTCTCCCACAGCCGAGTCCTGTCACTTTCTCCCCGTTCTCTAACCAACAGAGGCGCTCCTGGCAATATCATCTGCAACATCACCACTTTAAAAACACAAGGATCTGCCTGGCAACACTAACTCGAGGAACTTAAATTCCCTCTTCAGTTCAGTAGAGAACAGCATGGCAACAACCCATGGTTGGGTGTTGAGGCTAGATAGTTAGAAATAAAGACCCAGCTTTTTGACAGTGAGCATAATCAAGTGTTGGAACACTTTTCCAGTATTGTTCTATAATTGAGCAATTTTGAAATTGCAACCAGATGAGTTTCTAAAAGACAGGCTCTGGTTCAAACAGTAGTGGCTATATGGAAGTCCTGTGACCCACTGTTGATGCAAGGAGTCAGTGCAGATAATGGTAATGGTGCCTTACAACTACCTTATCAGATTAAAAGAAGCATGCTGAATTATGTACAGATCACCTAAGGTGTCTTAGACCCACCTAGAAGATCATTCTGCGGCAGCCATTTGACTAGCTTTACGTTCTTTGGCAGGTTGGGGGGCGCCTGTCCCGTATAACGCCAGAGAACCTTTCAGGAGAAAAAAACACAAGGTTAATTCTCAGCAACCGACCTCTTGCTGCTGCTCCATGGGTTTTGTAAAACACAACTGAAATGTCAGCGATGCACAAAGCCTGTGTCTTTAACAATTGTGCAGAGTAGCAGGGATGACATTTCACTCTGCCAGGGGGAGCAGGAGAAAGAAGGGAAGACTGGGCACGCTGGGAGCCAAAGACACCATTATTTGAATACAGTGCTGATATTGCTGTGCTGGAAGGAGGAGAGGAAAACTGTACCGTCTGAGGGATTGTTCCCAAGGCTTCTGTGATTTCTATGGCTTTCTTCATTGGAATCTCAGAGACCATGGAGCCCAGAGAGAAGACCACAATGCCATGTTCTCCAGAGGCATTCACAATGGCTTCGAATTCCTGCAAACACAAAGAACATCCTCAGTCAAAATCCTTCCCATGTCATAAGCCGTAATTTTGGTTGTGCTTCCACCTAACTATCTGGAAAGGTAATAAAATGAACAGGCAACATAACTAAAATTTTGATCAAGATAGTTATTTATCTATATGAGTCCCAGAGAAACAATTAGGACAAGCGAATGAGTGAAGTTAAGCTGGTGAATGTCTGCAGAATTGGGGCTGTAAGCAAAAATCAGTATGGACATGAGAAAAAGTTTGCTAAAAACACTCATGTAGCAAACCTTGCCTGTTCAAAGTCTTTAATTTCTGTGCAAATTAAAAGAGGAATTAAAAAAGATGAATTGAAAAAGACCAATTAAACAGAGCTATTCATCATCACACTTTGCCTAGCAACCAGCCTCTAGGTAAATACATTGTGTTTTATTTTGACATTTATTGCATGTCAGATGAGCTGGATTTAGAGCTGACATTCTTCTTTTCAGACCTGAAGTTGCAAGAGAGAATTAAAACAAACAAACCAACAACAAAATGTGTTCTGAGAGTAGTTCTTTACCTTTTAATATCTGCATTTATGGGGTCTGCCTTGAGTATGATAATATTGAACTGCTGCCAGTTTTATGAACTGTTTTGTTTGTTAGATTTAAATAAAAGATGGACTGGAAGATCTGTCACTAGAATCCAAGAACACAGGGATTCTGATGAAGCATAAAAACAGCTGAACACTGGAACAAAAATCCTGTGCCACAGAAAAATATTTGGTGAAGCCAGGTAAGGAAAGACAAAACTGGAGGGAATTGCTGTGTGTATCAGACATAAAATGAATATTTTCATCTCAATAGAATGAAATAAATGTTCATGCAAGTCTGGAAATTGAAATGCAATGTCTAGGGTCTGAGGGATAACCAAAACCTGAGGGATAACTCTCTTAATTTATGCTCTGTTATATGTTTGCATGGCTGACCAGGCTACTATGGCCGGTTTTTTGAGACTGGATCCCAAACAGAAGGACCCTTTGAAGGTTTACTGATAGCAGCTCCCTGAACAGTGGAACAGATGCTCTCACAGGTGAGCAAACCAGATTAGCAAACCAGGTGAGCTCTAACTCTAACTTCAGGGCTTAATTCTGTTTTGCAACATTTATCTAAAGACAAGTTCTCTGTAAGTCTTTAGATACCTGCTTAGGAACTCAGGACTCAATTCAGTATAAATCCACTGACATTTGAAACTGCCCCAGACTCCTAGATGAATTACAAATGTGCTTTTGGTACAAAATTCTTTGGTCAGTGGCTGACTTGCTTTTTTAAGTTCCAATGGATCAGATACACCATGGATGCTGTTTCAAGGTGTATTTAGCCCCCTTTATTTTCTGTGGGACCACTCACATTAGTTTTACTCTATTCTTCAAAGGTTTTTGTGTACCAAGGTCTGCCTTCCTGCTCGGAAATGCCTCCCACCGCCATTATGAAACTTTCTGCAGTTATGCTTTGAAGAAATGTGGATTGTTTTGCTAAAA